TTTGTCCACCTCTTCTGGTGAAACCTCAGTTGGTTTGTTTAGATCAATTTCACCACTCACAACTTCCTGTGTCTCAATTGAAATTTGGACGTCGACTTGATCCTCGACTTCCTTAGTTTCAGGAGTTATCAGTTCGGGCTTTGATTCCTTGCGCTTGATCTTTTTTACTTTTGTAACAGTTTTAATTTCAAGTGGGGTCACGGATTCAGGAGCTTTGTCCACCTCTTCTGGTGAAACCTCAGTTGGTTTGTTTAGATCAATTTCACCACTCACAACTTCCTGTGTCTCAACTGAAACTTGAACGTCTACTTGTTCCTCGACCTCCTTTGTTTCAGGAATTATAAACTCTGGCTTTGATTCCTTGCGCTTGATCTTTTTTACTTTTGTAACAGTTTTAATTTCAAGTGGGGTCACGGATTCAGGAGCTTTGTCCACCTCTTCTGGTGAAACCTCAGTTGGTTTGTTTAGATCAATTTCACCACTCACAACTTCTTGTGTCTCAACTGAAACTTGAACGTCTACTTGTTCCTCGACCTCCTTTGTTTCAGGAATTATCAACTCTGGCTTTGATTCCTTGCGCTTGATCTTTTTTACTTTTTTAACAGTTTCAATTTCAAGTGGGGTCACGGATTCAGGAGCTGTTTTCACTACTTTAATTTGGTTGGTGCACTCAATTTCACTTCCCAATATTTCAGAAAGACGTTGTGTTTCTTTTTCTAAAAATATAAATTAAAAGGTTACTATTAAACAAAATTAGTTTTAAGAGTTAAATACCTTCTTCGATTTCACTTGTGTCTACTTGCATGCGCAAATCTTTTTCTTCTTCAAATAGTTCTTCATTGTCACTTTTAAATTCTGTTATTTGAATTTCATCATTTTCAATGTTTATTTTAATTATTTTTTCATCTCTAAATAAGCTAATAATTGGTTCTGTTATTTCTCCAAATTCTTCATGAATATCCTCATTAGAAACATCTTCAATTTGGCATTCATCTTTATCATTTTTTATTTCGTCAATTTTTTCTTTGGTTAGAAGAACTTCATCGGTTTGATTTTCATCAGCAACTTTTTGTTTATCAACGTCGTACTGAACAATATCTTGCTCAACATCATCTGTCACAACAACTTCTGGCTCAACAACTTTTAGATCAATATCTTCTGACGATTCAACTGGTACGTATTCAGTTACAACTATTATTTCATTCTCTTTTGGTTGAATTTCAACAACTTTGATTCCACTTTCAAACTTAGTTAGTGGCTGTTCATTTATAATTGAGTATTCTGTCACTTCTTTGACAAATTTTTCAATTGAGTTAAAAACCACTGAGTTGTCAACGATGTCAATGCAATCATTTGTTTCAATATGCACATTTGGTTTTTCAAACATGATTTTGAAATCCACTTCTTTTGTTTGACCATAACAAATGTTTTCACCTGAAAAAAAGTTTTGTCATTATTTGTTTATAGCATTTTTTTGTAAAATGTTTTACCAATATCAGCACTTTTTTCAACGCCGGTTTGGACAACCAAATTGGCAGAAGTAAAATTTACTTTGGGCACAAATTCTTTAACATTTTCATAAACAAGTGGTTCAATGATGGTCAACTCATTTTCAAGAACAATATTCACTTGTACTTGTTGATGCGTAAACAGTTGTTGAGTAACTTCATACTGATCAGGTGTGATATACTCAAATTGGTTGTTGTTAAAATCTGTAAAAAACAAAAAAAATTAAAAACAAGAAAAAAAATGTCAAAAAATAGCCCAAAGTGCAAAAACGTGAAAAAGTTATTAAGGTAAAAAACAATTATAAATTATAAAAACCTATGGGGAAAGGAAGGGAAATAGAATTATTGTTAGCAGTCTGGACGTCAACAGGTATCATCTTAATGTTTTCCACAGGCAGTTCACCAAAGCCAGCAACTAAATCATTTGAGTCGGGAACAGAAATATTTTCATTTGATGTTTTTGTAACTTTTCTTTTAAAAACTTTTCTCTTGTTTGTGCCTGGAACATCTTCAATTGTCACTATTTCTTCCTTTGGCTGTTCATCAGGTCGAGCAGCAGCATCAGTTGTCAGTGGCAATTCAACATCTTCACCCTTGGGCTGCTTGGGCTTTTTAGTTCGTTTGATCACCTTCTTCTTGTCACCGTCAACAGTGATTTCCTCGATTGTGATCTCCTCATCTTTCTCAAGGTCTGGAACAACTTCAGTTGTGACGACGTCCTTCTTTGGCTGTTCATCAGGTCGAGCAGCAGCATCAGTTGTGAGTGGCATTTTTACATCTTCACCCTTTTGCTGCTTGGGCTTTTTAGTTCGTTTGATCACC